TAAAGTATTATAAAATAAAATTGTAATAATTTGATTAAAATTGTATTTTTTTAATTAATTAAGTTAATGAGGAATTAAAATGTGATAATTTGATGTGTTTAATTTTTTTAATATAAATTTTTAAAATATAATTTAATTTAAATTGAAATTTCAATTGAAAAATAAATTAAAGAATATTTGTTATTAAACTTTTCTTAAACAATGTATTGAATAGTTAATATCACTCTAATTTAAATTTATTACAATTTAAATTTTTAATAAATTTGATTTATTACAATTCATTTTGTTAATATTGAGACCAAAGTTTATTTTTAAAGTATAATTTAAAAATTAAATTATTTTTTAAAAATAAATTACTTTTAAAAAATAAATTGTAAAAAATATACTAAAACAATTAAAGTATATTTATAAAAAAATAAATTTAAATATAATAAAAAAATAATATTCATTAGCGATCGATTTCAATTCGGTTGCTATTTTCTCATTAGCGACAAATTTTAATTCGATCACTATTTCAATTTGTAATTCGGTCGCTAAATCGATCGCTAAATGATTTTTTTATTTTAGTATGGAATAGCCATCGATTTAGCGACCGAAATTTTGCGACGCAAAATATTGGTCGTTATTTCGGTGGCTAAATAAAAAAGTGAAACCAAATCATATTTTGGTGGCTAAATCGGTCGCTAAATTGCGACCGAATTAACTTGGTCGCTAAATCGGTCGCTAATTGCAACCGAATTAAAGTGGTCGCTAAATTGGTTGCTAATTGCGACCGAATTATATCGGTTGCTAATTGTTACCAAAATTAAATCGGTTGCTAAATCGGTCGCTAATTGCAACCGAAAAAATTCGATCGCTAATTTCGGTGGCTAAATGTGTTTTTTCTTATAGTGTTCATTCTTTACAATTTGATAGTAATATTGACAACTCATTTAATGTTATTACAATGTATTTAAACTAATATATAATAGTATTAACGTCAAATAGTTGTTAATCAATATTGTTTATAGATTGAATATTATATTTAGTATTATTGGTATGAGATAATCTTTATGTTACCTAGATGTAGATGTCATGTTTACATTTAAGCAGTTAAGTAACATATTTTAATTAGTTTGTATTTCTTAAATTGCATATTAATGTATAAATATTGAATTGTATATTATTTCACAACAAGAAATATATAAACATCTCATTTGTTATGGTGAATGTACAATAAAGTTTATTAAAAAAAATGGTGAATATGTTTTTAACAAAGCAAAAACTTTTCAATGTGTGTATATTTTACAAATATTAAACTTTTCTTATTTATAATATTATTAAAATATTAATTTGATGTGAGAATCATATGAAAATAATGTGAGTAAGAAATATGAAAAAGACACATTAAAACATCTTTATAGGTAATTATGATATGTTGATAAGACAATTAATAAAAATAGGAAAAGTGAATCTATGACATTAGTGACAATTTAGATCTTGACATTATCCCACATGCTTCATCTTCAATGGTTGAAAGTGCAAAGACTTTTTATAACAAATATTTTTTACTTTTTATGTCGATCCTACAACTGACATAGATTCAAGTGACATAAAAAGTTATATTTTTTATGTTAATTGTTAAATAGCCAGCATAATAAGTTTTACTTACTATGTTGATTCTTAATATAAACCATCATAATAAGTTTGACATGATGTTGGTTTTTAATATAACAGACATTGTATCAAATAACTCCAATGCAACTTCAATGTTACAACAAATTCTAAAATTTACGCACAACTATCATCCATAATGAGAAACATTGAACATAAAATATAAAAAAATTCTCACTTTTTATGATGGTTCGATTTTGAACCAATATAATAAGAACTTTTTATGTTAATTCAATTTTAAACTGTTATAGTAAATATGTTATTTATCGGTTCAAATTTGAATTGATATAAAAAATTACATATTATATCAATTCAAAATTGAACTGATATAGAAAGTTATTTTTTATAATGGTTCAATTTTGAACCGACATAGAAAATATTTACTATGACGGTTTATTATGAAGATCGACGGATGAATTATAACCGTCATAATAAGTCTTTGTTTTTGTACTAATGGTCTCTCTTCCCATAATTCAAATTCTACTTCACCTTTATACAAAGAAATCACTATATTGGTTACACATATATCTAATTTTGCAAGTGTTGATAAAAATATCGTTGCAAGCATAGATAAAGATACAACAAAAATATGTAGACACTTATGTAATAATAGATGCAAAAAGAAAATGTAGTCCTTTAAAAAAATATTTGTTCTCACTATAAAGAAATAAGATTGAAAACATGTCTCTTCAAATTAAGATCTATTTCTATTTTAATTGTGTTGATATAATATGTTTTTTAGTTGAAATATTATTTTACTTATTTTATAAATGGTAAGAGATAATTTTTATTAAAGTTGAACAAAGGGTATTGAAAGTTAATTAGTTTTAGTAATTTTTACATAAAGTTCTATATTTTAATTTTGCAAAATGTATGCAAATATTGTATTTATTTTAATAAGAAACATTTGATAATAGAACATCGATAGAAATAGGAAGGAATTAGTGACAAATTTTCTACAAAATGCATGTGTTTGTCATGTATATGAGAGCCAACAACTATAGATTAGTGAGAAAAAAATTGTAAAAAATTAGCTATCAACTAGTGAGAAAACTTGCGATGAATAAGCTATTGTTTACGGAAAAGATATGGAGCCTAGTGTGGGTGGAGGCAAGAGTGAAGGCAAAGGAGGGCAAATTCGTTGAAGGCACAAATTGGGAGGTTTGGCCTATTGAGATGTGGTTATGCGGAAGTAAGTCTATTAGTCTCTAAACTGTATCCCTAAATTCGTTCTTATTGATGTTGTAGGTTCTATTGGGCTTGCGCATACTAGTTTGTGGTTGAGTTTAGGTTTTATTGAGATATCTCAGTTATTGATCTGTAGTTGATATTGTTAGTGAAGGTTATTGGTGAAGTTAATAGAGGTAGTGACGAATCTTCTTGGGAGCTGAGAAGGGTCGTGCCCCCCCAAAGTTTTATAATTCCCATGTAATTTATGATTTTGACCCCCCAAACTTAATGAACATTTAATATATTTACGTGTATATTTATAATTTTATCCTCTCAACCCCTTCTCAGCTTTGTAACTCTCATATAATTTATGATTTTGTTCCCCTCAAACTTAATGATCATTTAATATATTTAAGTATATATTTACAATTTTATCTTTTCACCTTTTCATCTTTTTTTGTTTCCTTTTATATTTATTTATTATTTATTAATAATATATTATTTGACTCTTCCAAAATCAATGGTCAAAATTCGTAAGATGGATGACAACAAGAATTAGAAAACCCGTTCTCTCTCTTTTTCACTCTCTCATTGTATTTTGTTTTCCTATTTTTAGCAAAGTTATGTTAGTGGTTTTAAATCAAAATGTCATGAGGAATATAAAGTTTGTTTTGTTATGCTGAGAAGCAAAGGGGAAGAGTGTGGGCTGTGAAAGGCGAACATGGTGTTGTTTCACTTCATATACTAAGGGTGTCTTGAATATTACTCTTAAACTAGTTTTAAAAATCCATCAATATTTTTTTAAAGCTTGACAAAGTTGTACAAGGAGAACACAACGTTGGTGAAACAATATTGCAAGATAATAACATGTTTTGAACTTCTCTTTTAGGCTTGAATATGGTTGCAACCACACGAGGTTTCAATTCCAACTCCAAATTTTTTATTTTCTTTTACAGTTTTCTTCTTAGAAAAAAAAATCATCTTCTAATGCTTTCAATCCTTGTATTTAAAATTTGGGATTTGATGATGGTAGGTTCCTTCTACCCACTTATTAGCATAATTTCTACTCATTTATTAGTATAATTTCATGTAAGCTGAGGATGGTTGTAGTAGTCTAGCATGGTGGTGGTGGGGTTGCTATAACACTAGAGATTAGTGGAGAGATGATTGTCCAGAGATTACAATGATATGAAAATGGAAGATTTTTCTCTGTTCTTAGGAAAGGAAATATATTTTCCTTTTTCCTTTTTTTTTTTGAATTTTGGTCTATTTAAACTTTTCATTTTATAGGAGACTATCTAGCTTGGTTCGGAGAACACTTGTTTGGTTAAGGATTTTTTTATGGCTAAATATTATGACCTAAATGCTAAACTATTGACCTTACATGTTTGGATGGGTATTCATTCCAAAGTGTTCTCGTACATATATATTTATTAAGGTGTTAACATTTAAAAACTCATCAATGCTTCATAAAATTAAAATAACAATATAATTAAATAATATTTAATTATCTTCTATAGAAAGTCATCCAAAAAATATTTTCAACTCCATCTCGAATATTTGTTTAAAACAACAAACATATAAAATAGAATATTTAAATTCCAAATATTATAACTCAAATAATCCAAGAACTTAAATCATCACAATTATTCAATAAATGATATTAGTATTAATATTATTATAATTTATTTGTTTTTAAATAAATTATCTTCAGTATGAATTTTTTTTAAGTGGATCATATAGTGCAAAATTTTTAAAATTATTTATATATTTATAATTTTGACTTAATTTTTTTCTTCTATATTGTCTTAATTCTAAATTAAAATATATTAAATTATTAGTTTCAGATGATAAGTAATAAAATTCCAAAACCAAAATAACCAACATGATAAAACGGAAATTAATTGAAAATTTATATTTTTAAGAGTATTTTATTTAAATTTGAATTTAAAAAAAAGTAAATTAAAATTTGAAAATATCAAATCCTTTGATTTTACTGTATAAAGAACATACTTAATCGTGGTCCAATGAAATTTTTGATGATGAAACCTTATCGTATAGGTGCAAGAAGTAGCCACAAAACTTAAGTTAAAGCTTATCATACATATGTCGATTACAACATCCAGTTATCTTTCTCCATCTGCATATCTCTCTCTCTCTTCCAATCACCCAATGCCATGGACAACAACACTAACACACCACCAACAACAACCACCACCCCAGAGGCAGAAGTAGCACATGATTTCCCCGGTCTCATCCGCGTATTCACGGACGGTCGCATCCAACGTTTGAAAGGAGTCGACGTCGTTCCACCCTCCACCCCCACCACTCACCCCGTTTCCTCCAAAGATGTCACTCTTCACCCTCATTCCACTCTCTCCGCTCGCCTCTTCCTGCCTCCACCACCATCAACTAACCACCGACGAAACCTCCCTCTCTTGGTCTACTTCCACGGCGGCGGCTTCTGCACCTCCTCCCCCTTCACGTCAACCTACCATCACTACATCGCCGCCATCGCTGCCGAAGCCAAGGTCGTTGCTGTCTCCGTCGAGTACAGGCTGGCCCCAGAGCACCCTCTTCCGGCAGCGTACGAGGATTCATGGGCTGCACTACAATGGATCGCGTCACACCGGACTAACACTGGACCAGAGCCTTGGTTGAATGAAAATGTAGACTTTGGAAGAGTGTTCTTGGCTGGGGACAGTGCCGGTGCCAATATAGTGCATAATTTAACTATGCTACTTGGTGACCCCGATTGGGACATTGGCATGGACATCCTAGGAGTTTGTCTAGTACACCCGTATTTTTGGGGTTCGGTTCCTGTCGGATCCGAGGCCATGGATTTGGATAAGAAGGGGGTGGTGGACCGCCTGTGGCCGTTTGTGTGTCCGGATTCGCCGAACAATGATGACCCACGGGTTAACCCGGTGGGGGAGGATGCACCGAGCTTGGCGTGGCTGGGGTGCAGGACGGTGCTGGTGTGTGTGGCGGAGAAGGATGTGGTGAGGGAGAGAGGGTGGGTTTACTACAATGCTTTGAGTAGGAGTGGATGGTTGGGGGTGGTAGAAATTAAGGAGACTCTGGGGGAGGGTCATGTCTTTCATCTTAATGACTTGGAAAGTGACAAGGCTCAGGATTTGATTAAAACCTTGGCTCTTTTCTTCAACAGAGATTAGCCTCCTTCAATTTAATGTTCAGGAAGCCATAGCCATTGGTTCAAATTCATGTGTTTTGAGTTTGGCATTCTGTTTAACTTTACCATGTACTTTTGTTTATATAATATTAAGAACTAAGACTTTCAAAAATGACATGGTATCTTGCGCCTCATCCCACTTCTTTGTTACCTAAAAATATTCCAGGACTGAATAACCAATTTATAGTAGGTTAAATTAGCCACTGTCATATAATCCAATAATCTATTGCTATTAGAAAGACAGAAATGACAAGGACAATATAACAGTGACTAAAATTTATCTTTCCTATATCTTTCTTTTTCCTTTGATTAGTTTTCTGATATATTCATTGAGAAAATGTCTCTCTACAAAACCATTCAAGAAGTAGGGTAGAACTAAAACATACATAGTTAAAAAGAAAGACTAAGCATTTTTGTACTAACATCAACTTTCAGAGTCAAAATGGATTAATAGATTATTTTGCTATTTTATAGACTGGTCTAACTACTCTTTACTATTTCAAGGACCATATCATTCACTCAAGATTGTAAATTGTACTAAAGCCCACATGCAGTTACAACAGAATCAACACGTTTACGTGGAAAGTCCTACGGCTGACAAATAATAAATAAAAATAAATAAAACTTTAGCGCACGATCAAGTAGATCTCCATTACATGTCGAGAGACTAAAATATGATTCTCATCCTCTAAGATGTAACTTTGCTCCTGCCTTTTTTATAGAACACACAATAAAATACTTGTGATAAAACAATTTCTGTTAACAAACATGTCAAGAGTATTAATGAAATGTTGCCTATTCATAGTAAGGAAGAATACATTGGAATAACTCTAGAAAACAACTGTGTCGAGCATCATTCCCAAAGTCTGAACAATGTTTGAAGACATCAAATTGGAAACGTGCTCTTCAAGGTGCTTCTTAGCATCTTGCCTTCCCACATTTGCAATTGCGAGTTTTTCTGGTGGCAGCTCATCTTCCTCCTGCACTGCTTTGTTGTACTTGGTTGCTAAATTTAGCATCTCCTGCATTACCAGAAATAAAAATATTATCTCCTGAAATTGTGTCATTCAGCTTATTATGAAAGTAAAATGCTTGCTAGTCTTTTCCCCTACTTTTCAGAAAAATTCTTTGAAATATAACTATTTCTCTAAATATAATCCCAACCCGTAGTTTAACTTATTTTGAATTGGCTGCTTTTAAAGAGCACAATGTCTATATAGGATATGAACAGGTTTGAACTTCTAACAATATTTTCCTGCCAGCAGCAGTTTTACTTTCTTGTTGTTTTTCAATTATATTATATATTAAATCCAACATTATGAAATTAACAGTTGCTCAAGTGTCTATACTTTGTCATAGAACAAGGCTGCTCTGCACCAACACACTGCTATAGCAACAACTCCATGCCAATGATGCAGCTTTTAATACCAAAATAACTAAACAATGATGGATGAATTTATTGCTCTCACAAAACAGTAAACAGACTACAGTCCCACCTCAATCTCTTTACATGATCATTAGCATCATTAGCTAAGTTCAATCACTACATATCCATTCCAAACTCAGTAGAGTCTACATGTCTCACAAGCTCAAAAGAAAACTCTATATGGAAGCAAACAATGATGGATGAATTTATTGCTCTCACAAAACAGTAAACAGATTACTGTCCCACCTCAATCTCTTTACATGATCATTAGCATCAGTTTGGTTTTAACACCGGAAAGGAATCACACAACTACTCTATTATCACCACAACGCTAAACTTGTTGGGCATTCATATTCATTAACATTTTTAGCATTGGGTTTCAAAACTCCTTTAGTTAGTACAGTCATTCAACCTCATCATATTGGAATAGTGCACTGAATTGCACCCTAATGATCTATTGTTCAAATGGAAATCAACAATAACTTTTTGCATGGCACTCTCCTTTATGATAGATGTCTACCAGACTAAACACTAGGTTACCTTGATCTCACATTATTGAATCATGTAAACTCAATAAAGCTCTATGGTCACAATGATTGATGCCAAGCCCATCACTCCACCCATGTCCACAACTAATCCTTAATCTAATGTTGTTTCTTTAGAAGGAGGAAGGAGAAGTTGAGAGACAAGGAAATGACAGAAAGTAGTAAGATATTAACCATTCAGTATAGTATTTTTCTGAAATTTACTAAACCATGTCAGCAGAATCTCCAATTGAGTACCATATCAATCATCCGTTGTTGCTATGTGAAAAGTCATGAAAGTGTATGTGGTAACATTTAAACCGTATTTTGTCTGGTATTATTTCTGCAAGTCTCATGCAATAAATTCAACAAAAAAAAAGAGTTTGAAAAAAAAAAGTTAAAGAGGGAATAAGAAAAACAGAAATTAAAGGTTGAATGATCTACATTTATATTTCACAATCAAAACTCTTAGTTTACCTGAACAGTCTGTTCATTAGTTTTAGAATGTGAATCAAAGCGCCTGAGTGTCAAACCATCAGTCCACTTCTTTTTGTGAAGGTTAAGCAACATCTTCTCTTCAAGTTCATTCTTTCTGTAATTAATGGCTATGGAGTAATAATGTCTATTCAAGCCATGGATCAGAGCCTAAAAAGGAGATTGCAAGGACAATAAGTAATGACCAAAAAAAAAAAAAACAGAGTAGCAGTTATGCTTTTTGAACAAAATAAAAGAGGACTCACTTGGATAGATGGCTTGTTCAGATGGCCCAGGTTTGAAGTCGTCTGCCGTGGTTCCTGACCCAGCATCATAGTTTGTGGATTAATCAGCCGGAAAGCATCAATTACCACTTTTCCTTTAACACTCTGAATGGGATCCACCACCACAGCCACTGCACGTTGATTTAAAGCCTCAAAACTCTGCATCAGATGAAAGTAGATATATATCATATACAACTATGTAAAACCAAAATCTCTAATAGAATAAGGGCTTATAATGGCTCACTTAACTAAATTCCATGTCTAACCTTTTCTAAATCTACATTAAGTTTTAACCATTAGTTGTCCCACTAATTCATAATTTATAAATTAAGAATTGAAATTCAGATAAAACAGTTCATTCTACCAACTTTCCTTAATTCTATTGTAGCTACTTCATTTGCAAGAATGAAAATACTAAACATTCTTTTATCAATATTCAATAGTAAATAGTGCAGTATAAATCTATGATTCAAGCATTATCATCTGGAGTTTCCATTCTTCACAACTAGAATCAGTTCCAATCTAAGCTTACGATGGAATGATGACAGATACACAACTCTACACCAAGCAACCCATTCCTCTCCCCTTTTGCACTTCCCTATCATCTACTTCATAAAAATTAGTTTTAATCAATCAATGATTGTTTCATGTGAAATTATGAACACGGATATCAGTTGTCTAGACATCCATATTACCAACAACAAAAGGTAATTTCCATCATCACTTTTACATCATAAGTTCCACAAAAATCATGTTTTAATTTGTATGCTTGATAAATAAATATATATAAAGTAAGGTTATAATTGTGAACAATTAAAAATACAATATAACAAATTACTAACATAACCATGCTGCAAACTCTCTTCTCTTTTTGTATCTCTCTTTCTCTCTCACATTATCCATCTGCAGTGTTCTATAATTGCTGTATCCAAGTTTTAAAAGTGGTTTACCACCGTGATTTTGGAGTCTCAATGACCATAACACAACAACAATTGCGGCCACATTGGCCATGCTTGCTAGCAACTAATGCACTATCAAGGATCGCAACAGAACCAAAACTACTATCATAATTTAAAACTTGGATGTATCACAAATAGCATGTGCCTCAGTTTTTCAGTTAAGAACAACAACAAAACCTAAATCCCACTATGTGAAGTGGGCTACATGGATCACACAGTGACAATTACAGTTTTTTCGTTTCAGTAAAGAAAACGATGTTATACACATATATGAATTGCCCATTAGTTTCAAATTTTAATTTTTAAAAATAGAAACAGTGGAAAATGTCATAAACACATGCAACCATAATGAACTGAAGACCAAAGATGCGGTCAGAAACCTGTTGGGTATTAATATCCACTCCAGAAAGCCAACATCCAAATCCAGGATGCGAGTGATACCACCCCACAACCATCTCCGGCCTGCAACAATAAAATGCCAGCTTTTCAACTATCCACACGTGTAACATAAAACCAGAAACAAACCCTCTTTCACAGACAGCAAAAAAACTTTAAACGATCCCGAAAAGTACCTTCCAGTCTGCTTCAACATATCAAGCATATTAGTCTGAAAAACATGATCAACGGCTTCAACGCTAACACCGGTCCCACTCTGAGGCATCGCAAACACATCCACAACGCGCACGGTGTACTCATCCACGAACTCCCCCAACATCAGACCCATCACTTCCATGGGTACCCCAGCTCTTCCTGCACACAAATTAGGGTTTCGGAAACAATTGGGCAAAACAAAAAAGAAAAATAGAAGAGATCGAGAAAGAAGAAGTACCGTGTTTAAGCATTTTGAGAAGCGCGAGAGAGGATATGTAAACCTGCTCGGAGGAATCGAGAGTGGGGGAATCCGGTGGGGGGTGACCTAGGGCTCCGCCTGCACCAGCGAACATCCTCTGAAGCCTCTCCATCCCCGACATGATGATGATGGAAGAAGGGACAACGAACCTGATATCCTAGTTTTCTTATGTTTTACGAAAAGAAAGATTGCTTCCTCCTGTGGAGAAAGTGAGACTATGCCGTTATGTTACTGTCAATGGTTCCGCAGTGAAGACGGTGATGATGTTTAAATAAATAGGACGACGCAAACGTTGACGTTTCGATCAAGAAACTATGAATCTGAGAAAAAAAGAAAAAGAAAAAAAGGAAAGCTTATTCTGTAATTCGGGCCTGTCTTTTAAAAAAAATTTGTCTCTTAAGACTGATTTGTAATTAAATAATGTATTAATTATATTTTTTTATTTTAAAAAATTATATTAATTTTTTTCTCTTAATCAAATGTAAAAATAGAAATAATTACACATATTAAAATATCTCTTAACTACTCTAGTTTTTAAATATTTCTGAATAATATTAAATTAATAATGCAAATTATTAAAAAATTTATCGCTATTAGCTAATTTTTCAAAATATAGTAAATTAATTGAAAATTTCTTGTAATTAAAAACCAGTTATAACGAAGGATTCCTCCTATTAGTGATCCTTTTAAAAATTTAAAATAAAAAGAATTCGTGTGAAAAAGGAAGTAATTAACAATAAAATCACAAACAAGAGATTAAGGGAGAAAGATTAGTTTAAAATATTTAGGCTAAAATGTTACTCGTAATCTTAACTATATATTTTTAATTATAATATTAATATGAAATATTTTAAACACTATCAAAATATCATGGACAAACATAAAATATTTAATTTTAATAATTTTTTATTAAATTCAAATAATAATAATAATAATAATAATAATTAAATGATGTTATTCCTAAACGGAATAAGGATGTATCATTCTTACGTCCGTTGTCATGGTATCTTTAAGGTTAATTTTCATATTTAAAATATTATTTACTTTGGAACATTAGTTCATCACAGTTTTATCCTTAAAATATGTTACGATTAAGAAAAAAAGTGTATATAAATTATCTTGACCTCAATTTCTAATGTGAGACTCATGAATATACCCGAACACAATCCCACAATCGAGGACTAAGATATATATATATATATATATATATATATATATATATATATATATATATATATATATATATATATATATATATGAAGTGAGACTCGCTTTCACCCTCACGGTGGATGTCAATGTTTCATCTAGGAACGAAATTGTTCTCGTCTCATATCTAATATGATAGTATCATAGTCAATTCTCATGTCAAGTATTGTTTGCTTACTCCAGTCCGTCACAATTTTGTTTTTTAAAAAACGCTTGTGTGTATTAAGAAAGGAGGATATATATAAATTAATCTTGGTCTTGAATCCTAAGTAATGCGCTCCTTGAGTGAAACTATGGTGAAGACCTTACCCTCACGTCAACCCACATATTGTGAGCATACACAAAGAATTGAAATTTGTAAGGAGGACAACGATCATCCATTCATTCCAGCAATCATGTAGACCCTTCTCCCACCAAACTAGGAGTCATTCAACATAGAAAAGTACAATAGTTCGACAAGCACAAGTAAGCTTGTATACTAACAACAAAGCAGTCTTGTGCTGAGTCTTCTCGATCACATTAAAAAAATCAGTCTTAGGATGATACAATTCTTTGTCATATAACTCCATTGATTCATATTATACATTGGTAGAATAGTTTCGAGTTAGGTTCGCAACCAGAAGCATGAAGTAAGGCGAATCCCTTTGTAGTTTTATGGACCGATTCGCCAAAGTATCAAACATGATACCAAATTTACACCCTGAGGTGACCTTACATGCCATAATGGTCGTTCTACAACCTGAACCCTTCATTGATAATTGTTTCGCTTATCCACCAAAAACCCTTAATGAACTACTTGCTCGAGCAACCAACTACATCTACATAGAAGATAACAATGTAAGATATAAGAGAAAAAAATACCAATTCTCATACGCATTCAACTTAATCCTCCAAAAAAACCTAGGACAACTAAATACAAATATTATACACCAATAAATACCAATTGAGAAGTGACTCTCCAAGAGGCTTTTAGTTTGAAACTCATGCATACACCTCCACCACTACCATCCCCAATCCATGCATATATGACCAAGTATTTTCATCAGAACTATAGGCATACTACCAACAATGCCAAAAGGTTGAAGATATCATTGAAGAACTCATAAGATTTGATTTACTCACACAACTTATACATAACGAACAAAATCAAGAATGAGTACAAGAGGAATATCAAGGCCGACGTCGTGGAAGATGAGGAGATATTATGGAATAGGTCGGGAAGCACCACCATAAGGTTCTTTACTTTCGATTTTTGTTTTCACTTTTTGAAAATAGAAACTAGTAAAAAAATAAATAAATCAGAAACCATGAATGAATTGCAAACAATAAATGAGAAAGTAAAGATTGAAAAAGAGAGAATTGGTGAGGAGATATACCACAAAGACTCTCTTTCTTTCATTATTCTAACAAGTTAATATTTTTAAGATTTTATTAGAGAAATATGCTCCAATTTCTAAAAAATATTTGTATGAATTAGTTACTTTGAGATTAATTTTCTGATATCCTCTCTCTAATTGTTGGGTTTTACCGTTTTATATGTATAGTCAGTTTGTTCTGTTTTCTAAAATCTCTATATATAAACCATGTATACCATAACTAAATATAGTGAATATCATAAAGTTCTTCTAGAATATCTGTCTCTTCGTTTTTCCCCTTTCCTATCTTTTGGGCTATCAAGATGATAACAATGATGGAAACCCAATATGGTATCAGAAGGGTTTGCTTCCGCTAAAGCCAGTCGTCTTCTCTGCTTCTTTTTTCGTCTTTCAAAATATTTTTCTTATTTTTCTTCATGACAACAGGGAACACATCCATGATGGATGAATATCAAAATTCTTCGAGTTCCTTCTACCTGCATCCTGGTGAAAACCCAGGAGCAACGCTGATCAATATTCAACTTGATGGGGCTAATTACCATGCTTGGAGTCGTGCCATGAAACATGCTATAATCTCCAAGAACAAACACAAGTTTCTTGACGACAGTATCAAAACGCTAGAACATGGAACCACCCTCCACGACGCCTGGGAAAGATGCAACATGATGGTGATATCGTGGCTGACGCGTGCCATGAATGCTCAGATTGCCCAAAGCATCGTATACATTGAAAATGCGAAAGACCTATGGGACGACCTGCACGAGCGTTAAGGGAGATCACTTCCGGATCTCTGATCTTCTTCAAGAACTCCATTCAACCAAACAGGGAGAAAGATCTGTCATAGATTTTTTCACGGATCTAAAGGCATTGTGGGAGGAACTTGAATCTCTCAGACCAACGTCGAGCTGCACCTGCAAAGTGAAGTGTGATTGTGACGTGACTTCATCAAAACTGTTATCAAACACAGATTCTAAGTATATCAAGTGTTTTCGAAAAGGTCTCAATGACGTTTATGGCACTGTGAAGACGCAAATTCTTCTAATGGAACCATTGTCAGGAATAAATCGTGTCTTCTATTTAGTTATGCAGCAAGAACGTCAGCTAAATGAGAACACCATAGAAGGCAGTAAGATCTTGATGACTACAATGAGCACTGAGGATCAAAGAAACTCCAAGAATCATGATAATTGAAAGGGACAAGGACGAGGAAAAAACATGAATAAGAATAATGACATACAGTGTAGCTATTACCACATAATACATGAGTGTTATGCAAAGCACGACTATCCCCAGTGGTATAAGACAAAAGGTGAAAAGGTGGTTAACAACACTATCGCTGAGAAGGATGAAACTGTGATTAAATAGTAAGATCAGTGGTTGAGCAAGGAAGGTAGTCCCTTCTCAAATGAACAAATACATCAAATCATAAAAATGATTCAAGAAGCCAAAGGTGACGTTTCACACAAAGTTAACAATCTAGTGTCTGATTCAACTCGTGAGAAGGTTCCTAATGGTAAGAAAAAAAACATTACATGGATTCTAGTTACAGGAGCAACATACCATGTTACCTTTGATGTTTCTAATTTTGTGATTTTTAGAAAAATAAGACCGACATGCATTAAACTGCCAAATGGATCACATATATTTGCACACTATGATGACACTGTACAACTGTTTGATATATTTTTTTCTTGCATAATGTGTTTCTTGTACCCGAGTTTGCTTTCAATCTTATTTTTGTGCAAAGGAGTGTTAGATCCCATAACTGGAAACTGGTTTTTTCCTCTGAGTTGTGTCAGATCCAAGATGCCCATTCCTTGGAGATGATTGGAGAAGTTAAGCTCCAAGAAGGATTGTACCTACTGCAACTATCAGCTGCAAAAAAGACTGTCAATTCTTTTTCTAGCATCACTGAAACACGTAACTATAACTCAAAGAATCAAGATGGGGGAATTTGGCACAAGAGGTTGGAACATCCCTAAGATAAAGTTCTACATCTTATCAGTAAACGATTTCCTTACATTGTTTTCAGTAAGACCAAACTGTGTGATATATGCCATTTTTCAAAGCAAACTAGACTTTCCTTTAGTACTAGTAGCTCGTATTCTGAGCATGTTTTTTATTTGATACATGTTGACATTTGGGGCCCTATGGCACCACCTCTATACATGGACACAAGTTCTTTCTGACTACAATAGATGACCACAGTAGGTTTTGTTGGGTGTTTTTGATGAAAATAAAGGCTAAAACTAGAGATGCTTTATCAAAGTTTGTGCTCATGATTAATACCCAATTTCACAAAAAAATTAAAATCATACGTTTTGATAATGGAAGTGAGTTTATGTGTAGACACTTGTATGATAATTTTGGTATAATACATCAAACCAGCTGCATAGAAACTCCCCAACAAAATTCTATTGTTGAAAGAAAATATAGACATATTCTAGAAGTTAGTAGGAGTCTCATCTTTCAATCTAATATTCCCATGGTTTTCTGGTCTTATGTTATTCTGCAAGCTGTTTTCTTAATAAACTGTTTA